CTCCCATACCCACGACCTACTCTGTCATTCCTATCTATTTTGTACCCTGCTATTATTGATTATCATCATTCCACCAAATTTCTGTGATGTCTACTATATCAATATCCTCATTTAAATACCAGGCACTCAAGTCCACCACCCATCCTAGTATTTAGACTTACTGCATTTGTATATATGCACCTATAAAATTTGTCACTATTTAGATTTTTGCCTTCATGTGATGTAACTGAATGGGACTCTCTTTCATTTTACTGTTTCTTTTCAGTTCCTACCTGTATTTTCTCAACTTCTATCCTCTCCTGTTTACTAGGATATAGCATATCCTCTTTAATCAATGTGTCTGTCCGAACCGTGCGCCCTTCCGTCCTTAGTTTAAAAAACTCCTCTATGACCTTTTAAAATTTACCTGCCAGCAATCTGGTTCCATTTTGGTTTAGGGAGAGCCCATCCTTCACACAGTTATGCAGCAGACTCCACTACCTTTCAGCTGAAGTACTGGGAATTGGAGTATTTTGTTTGTTTTGAATGCAATGGTATTGAAGTGACCAGCCTGAGTTTCTTATTATTCTGGGTTACAGTTTAAAGTTATTTTTCTCAAATTCTATATAGTTTAGTGCCGGCCATTTCCTTTATTTGCCAAGTTGTAGTTAAATGATAAAACCAAGACTTTATTAACATAAAATTCCCTTTTGGTGTTCTGTAAAACATCATCACTTTTATGAAGTTTGCTCAATTTCTTTTTTCACATTCTTAGTCCTCAAGGGTTTTGGTAACTGAGAACTGGTACAGTGCCAGCCCCTGACAATATTAGGCTGAATGCTTTTGCACTCCAGCAGCTGGGCTCAATTTCTTGTATTACTATTATAGCTGTGATGTTTAAAGCTATTGGATCAGAATGATCTGTTGATACTTGAGTCACAGTATCTAGTAAGTCCTAATGGTGATGTTAACATTAAGAAAAGATTCTAATGTTGCATGATTTGGTCCTTCCTATTTCATTATAGCAGCTCTGGTTTCTAAGCACCAAATAAATCATACTCCTTTAAATCACTTTACCATTAGATATGTAGGGCTTGATCCTGGTAAGTGCTGAGCACTCTCAGCTCCTATTAGCATTATTAAAAACTAAGGGTGCTACCATCACTGAGGACAATCTTAGTTTGTTCAAGCTTGTGAAAAGAAGGCTTGTCTTAGTTTTTCCTCTTTTAAAAATATGCTTTAATTTGATTCTTTACGCATTCTTCTAAGGGCTTTGCTCAGTATTTACACACAGTACTTATTCAGGCAATGAAGTCAGTGAGAGTTTGCCTATCTGAGTAATAAGAGCATTTTCCATGATCCTGCTTTCCCTGGGTTTATACAGCTTCTGATTTAACTGTACAATAGTAAATCAGCTATGTCCTTACAACCTCAAGTTTTATCATTCTATTGTGCTGTGTCAGGTCCAAATTCCATTTGGGAAATTGTTTCACTCTTGGTAGTATTGTTGACTCATCTGTTGTACATGCAAATGTTCTGCAAAGCATTTTGAGAACAGTTATGTGTTGATTTTAACACTTTTTGCTCAGTTGCCTTATGCACACAATACATGGGTAACTATAGACATTTGATTCTTTCCACATCAAAACACGTATTAGTGCTTGTTAGATATGATATCTGTGTGTTTAATGACTTCAGTCAGGCTCAGTTAAACTATCTTTCACATTCGCGGTGCAAACTGTTTTCACAGATCGGGTAAAGCGCCCCCTGTAGGACACCTGCCAGCCTACTGTGAAGGATCTGAACCCTGAATCCCACCTCATCTTATCTTACTGGGGCTATGTAGAGCTTAGGCACTGGCTTTGCCCCTCTCGGCATGCACTCTAGGTACAGACCTCGTGTCTGTTACTCCTCTTGGCAATGGGGACTCCCAAAGTCCAATCGCTTAGGCCTTGAAACCAGTGCTGTCTCCCCCTAGCCTCTCCAGCAACTCTTTCATGTTCCCCAGAATCCCACCAAAGGTTCACTGTTTACCTCTCACGGGGTACATCATAAAAAGAGTCAACAGACATACAGATAGACTTTGCACAGGATTCTAAAACACCATTACTCTTTACTTGTTATCATGACAAATACACTGATCCATACAAAGTAATAAAGACACCAGTACACAATTCCCTCAGTTCCCACACTGGAGAATTTTCTGGGCACAGGCCAGAGTTCTCTAAGGATATTATCTCTCCCCTCTACCCTCCGGCACACAACCTATCTCCATAACATTCAATCTCTGGTCTTTTCTCCCTCTGTTACCTTTTGTCTTATAACCATCAGCCTACTTTTACTTGAGACATACTAATCTGCCTTAGCAGGTGACCACAGACCCCTGCCTGATGATTTCATTGACAGGTGCCCTCTCCTCTGGTAAACCAGTTCTCCTGGGTAAGGGCCTCTCTTCTGTCTCAAGGTCTTTCTTTCTGAATGGAGGACCATCAACATTTAATGACCCTTTATTGTTAGCTCTGGGCTACTACCGACTGGAGTTTCAGTCCAACATGGAGATAGGAGGCTAACAGAGTAGGCCAACAAACCCCACATTCATAATGACGTTTGCAGCTTGATGAAGAAACTCAAAATTCATAAATTGTACTCAGATGGATTGCCCAAATTATCAAAACTCTGTCACCATAAGCATAATTTTTTATGAGCCCATGCTTGTCCAGTACGCTATCCTTGCTGACTTTGCCTGCCTTGCTCTCCTATGACCCATGTCACTGCCCTGTGTTTACTGGCCCTTGTTCACTGGCAATGTCCTGCTTGTTTTTATTGTTCTTCTGTACTGTTTTTTTTGTTTTTGTTTTTTTTGTATGCCAAATATATTTCCATTGCTCTTTTCCCTCATTCCCTCTTTCTTTCCTTTGGTGTTCATTAGTCTCCATCACTTTATCTCCCTTTGTTCTCTCTTTTTCCCCTCATCCAACACACACAATCATTCCAGGGAAGAGATATTCAATCGTGGTAAACAGCTGGTTTTTAGCAGTTTGCCATCCATTAAAAATGAAAACTCTACTTTAAAAAATATCATAATTCACTACTCTGCCAGAGTAAGGTAAATTGCAGGTCAAAGGGTTTTGGCCAAGTATAGTAATTCCAGTTCATACCAAAGCCGAAGAAAACCTTACTGTATAACAGATGCCTTCCTGTGTGCTTTCCAATTAGAGGTTTAGGATTTATTAAGAGAATAACAAACTACGAGGAGCACAGTTTCTCTTGGGTGTTTTCTATGGCTCGGATGTGAGTACCTGCAGTACTGTACACTGCAAAACCTGTTTGAAGTCCTGGTACATTGGACTTACTACAGGCTAAATTATCTGCATTGTGTGAAGCATATTTCCTATATTGTCTGCTGTCCTGAATCCAGATGGCATCATAATTATAAACCCCCAATGAGAAGGAAATTCAAAGCTTAGGAGCTAATACTAAGACCCCTGAAAGGCTGCAGCAGCAGAGTCAGTGCTTCAAGCAGTGTTCCTAGAGGGAATGGGGGATTTAGCGATGACTTTTCAGAAAGTGGTTTCCCATTTGTGAGCAGAGTTTGAGCCTGCAAATTTGCACCTGAGTCGTGCAATTCAGTTTTGGACCCAAATCAAACTTCCAGATGGGAAGCGCAACTCACGTAGCGAGTGGTGTAGTCAGTTCTGTGCCCACAGTTTGCTCTGTGGATTCAGCCAGGGAGGCCCAGGCCTCAGCAAGTACTGTAAAGAACAAACAAACAAAACCCTTCACAGGAGTCCTAAAGAGGGGCCTGAGAAAAACAAGGCTGAAGACTTTTTTTTTTTTTTTTAAAGGGGGAGAGGGCAGCAGACAGATTCAAAGCCTTTCAACGAAAGGGAGGCAAGGGTGCATTGACATCTCCTCTGAGATTGGCAACTAATAACAGAATGTGCTCAAAAAGGTTTGCCTATTTTAACATTACTCTAATCCTGAGGCCTAATCCAATGTCCATTGAAGTCCACAGGAATGTTTCCATCAATGTCAATGGGAAACATAGACTCAGACCCCAAGTGTACAGCACTCCTGGGGCTCTGAACGGGAATAAAGCCAGGTAGACCACATTGCTGCTTTCACAATGCCTAATGTTCACTCATTTTCTGACAAACTTACAAAGGATGTGTGAATTTGGCCCAATAATTTTAAGGACCTGGAAAAATGAGGGAATTGAAAATAAGTGTCAGCACAGAGTCAGCAACCACTGGGTTAGAACCAATGGTTTTAAGAGGTTTTTTTTTAACACAGGGCTGGGATGCCACTTAGTTTCATTTATGAAAGAAATACACTTTGCACTGACTTTGTGCATCACACTTTCCATCTAAGTGGCTAAGTGTTATCTCCACTTTACAGGTGGAGAAACTGAGTCACGGAGAGATGCTGTGACTTGTCCAAGGTCCCAGAGACGACTGACTCCATGTCCAGTGCCCTATCTACTGGACCTTTTTAAAGGTGGTTTAAAAGTAGGCTGGAGTCTGAAGTCTTTAGGAAGTGTGGCCCCTGCATTTGTGCTTGTTTGTTTGGCCATTTACACTTACTGATTTTTATTTTTATTTATTTATTTTTTTAAAAAAAGAACCAAAAGCAAAGAAAGGACAGTTTCTTCCCAAGATGAATTTTCTATAAAGGGTTTATTAGGCGCATGAGGGTGTTTTGTGATCATGCCATTTCACCTACTGTTTCATACATTCAGCTGCTTGGGAAGCACTGGAACGCCACGTTTCTGAGTACTTCACAGTCCAGGAAGGGAATAACCCCGCAGGCACAGGAGTCCATTGGAGCTCTGCTATTGACTAGCCTGGGTCCAGATCAGCCAGAGGGGTAGTGAAACCAAAAAAATCCAATTTCTATTTGTATTCCCTTCCTTCAGTCATTTTATTTGCTCTCTAAATGAACCATGCAAATAAAAATCAACCTTTGGAGAAAAAAACCCCTCAAATGGATAACAAGGAAAAGACCTACTAGCTTTGTCATACCTTGTTCACAGAAGGCGCCAGTGGTTCCTAGTGGGCAGTGGCAGGCGTATCCATCAGGCAGTGGCACACAGGTAGCACCTTTTCCACAGAGATGTGGTGGGTTGTGCTCAGGATCGCAAACTGAAACTGTCTCTGTGCAAAATGCTCCTTTCCATCCAGTGGGGCAGTCACAGCTACAGTGCATAAAAGAGGGGAAACAATGCAACATTATTACCTGAACAAATCAATTGTTTCAGTAGCATTTGGAGTCAACATTTTCAGACTCTGATGCCTAAAGTTAGGCACCTAAATCAGAGGTTTTCAGTGGTGTTAAGTAGCCAAGTCTCTCAGTGGATTGTATTTTTAGGCAGCTTAGTTTTAAACTATTAGCCCAAATTTACATCATATTTGTTTTAGTCTAACAGCCTGGGATCACTGTTTGTATTTAATGGGACATTTGAATTTTTTATTATTGGTACTGTGGTATTAGCATCCAGAAATGCCAGTCAGTCTTGGGTCTCCTTTTTGCTAGGTGCTATACAAAACACAGAAGAAGGCAAGGTCCCTACCCCAGAAAACTTACAATCTAAATTAAGACATGGCACAATAAGTAAGTGTGATAAAGAATAAGGGGGAAAGGGAAAATAATGAAGTGGGCGCAAGGGAAAAGTAGTAAGATCAGGCTCTGTGGCTGCCTCTCAGCTCGCCACTTAGTTGGCTGATTTCTTCTCCTAGGCACAGCAGAAGTGGGATCTGGGGAAGGGTTTGAAGGAGGGAGAGGCCTGTGTCATAAGTTGCATATAGTTACTAGTTGCAGTCATTAATGCCATCATCAAACTGAGGGAACCCAAGAAAAGGTAAGCGGCTGCTGGCCTTTCCCACCTCTGTGTTTAATTAGAGCCAGGGGAATCACTCAGCTCAAACAAGAAAAACAAACCATCCTGCTGGTTGTCCATATTAAAGTCAGTTTTAGTGTTGTAGAGCTTGATACAGAGATTTAAAAATGGACCTTCTCCTTGAAAGCAGAATTCTTTTTAATAGTTTGAATGCATAAATCAATTTGCATTTTATTATCCAGTGGCAGTTTTATGACATGTTGTTATAACCATAGTGCTCCCAGGATATTAGAGAGACAAGATGGGTGAGGTAATATCTTTTACTGGTCCAAAATTCTGTTGGTGAAAGAGACAAACATGAGCTACACAGACAGTGTTTAATTTGTGCCGGGGCTTGCCAGAGCTGAATCCTGGAACCTCTAGGCTTGGCAGTTCCTAGCCCCAGCACTTCCGGGCTCCTGGCCAGCAGCCTCCATTCTCTGAAGGCAGCACCTCCGCCGGCAGCAGCACAGAAGTAAGGGTAGCAATACCATACCATGCCACCCTTATTTCTGCGTTGCTGCTGGCAACTGCGCTGCCTTCAGAACCGAGTCCTTGGCAAGCAGCTGCTCAACTTGAGCCCAGGCACCGCTTTCATTTCAAATTAAGCATTGTACACAGAGCTCTTCTTCAGGTCCCACTTTGTCTCAGATTTATGACATTTCAGTGTTTCTCTAAATGAACGCCTTTTAGTGGTTGCCTGTAAAATTCAAGGTCAAGAATAGAACATAGATTCTGACTGGTCCTTTCCCCAGACATTTGTTCAGACTTGCTGAGCTACATTGTCTCGTTCAATCAGCTCACAGGCAAAGGACATCCAGGAATCTTTGAAACAGTGGCAAGAGCTATATCCTTATCTCAGGCATGATCTGTAACTATTTTTCATTTCCTAGACACTTTGTGAACATGGCACAGTACTGCTATTATTGTTTCTTTAAACCTGCAGGGCAAAGGACAACAGGTAAGCAAACCACTACCTGCAACCTCTTCACAGTGATAAATGGCTACTTAAAATTAAAGGGAAAAGAGGACAAGACCTCACAGTAACAAAAGCACCTCAATTCATCAGAGTTTAGCATTAGAGTATTTTCTCTCTCATCCTTAACCATTATGCTTTGATGCATAGAAACCATTGAGGCAGGAAAGTAATTTAGTTTCCTAAGTGGCAGATAGAAATGTCTGTTTCTTGTGCTTTGATGGACTAAGGACCTGGAAGCTGTGGCTGCACTTGCTGGGACTCATAAGAGGGATTTTTTTCTCTCCCCCACCTCCCTTCACACCATATTTCTTTTTGACACTTGTATATCAGAACATTTTCTTGCAACCTAAAAGTGAAATACTAGATCTACTGATTTAAATGGGATTAAACCTACTTGCATGAGGGTTGAATTTGATCAGCTTCCTTCTTCCATACATGTCAAGTGCCATGAACACACATCACCCTGTGTCAATAATAATATGACAGATGTGCCTCAGTTTAGCAATTTAGTTGTAGATTTGAACCCAGACTTTCCCAAAGTTCAGAGTTGTGTGGATTTTGGGTTCTGGTTCAGGCTCATACTAGAGAGAGGTCCAGTCACAAAATTTGGATCTGGAACCAGCTTCAAAATTGGCCACACTTTAGGGAGGCAAATGGAGAGATTTGGGATCAGTCTGTCTTTCCTGATTAGTAATGAGCAGACCTTCAAAGAGTCAGAATTCAGCTTCAGTGCAGAGAAACAGCTACAATTTCTGATGCTTAACTACATTATCTGAATCATTGCTGGTGTCCTGTCTCCCCAGACAATAGGTACCACCAATTCCTTTCACTACCTAGCTCCTCTCCATCCTGCAGACCTGGGGTTTCATCTATGTCCTGTTCTTGTTTGTTTTTGTTTTCTGGGGTGGGGAGGGAGAAATGCAGTGGCTTGCTACTTCATCACTGCCTGGATTTCTCAGGCCATTCCTTCCTCATTTCTGTTTCTTTAAGAGTTAGCTAGATGGTGCGGGCTAGTGGCCTCCTCCACAATCCTGCTTCTTTAGATTTTGGGGAGGACAACTTTGTGTGCCCATTTCCCACAACTCTATCATTGTGTGGTGGCATATTCTGGAGTGCAGAAAGTCTCCCTATTTGTAGATTCTTCTCCATACAATTGAAACTTTGAAAATATGCTTCAGGGCACATTGGGTAATTTTGAAATCTCCTGTTTTGCAGGGGGCCTTCATTCTAAGAGAGGTGCTGCACAAGGCAGATGTGAAAGGAGAAAGGAGCTCTCAAACACACAACCCCCAAAGGTATGAAACAAAAAGATCACTTTGGACTGACGGATCCTGGAAGTTTCAGATACAGGTTCAAGTTTTGTAACGTTTGCACTTTGGTTCGTATTTCAGGGTGTCATGCGTTTCTGAACCAGTTCACCTAGCCCTGCCACTTACATACCTGACAACACTCTTAACACACAGTATAAATATCCTCATACAGTGACTTCAGAGGTTTAAGGGACCATACCAGGTACCAAATTCAGCTCTGAAGTAAGCAGCACAAGTCCTGTTTGAGTCAAGGAGAGCTGGGCCTCTGTATGTCACTGCCAAATTGGGACCCATAACTAAAGTATAATGTATCTAATCTATTCAATATCTTCCAAAATGTGTCTTTATTAATTTCATACCAAGTCTGTATCTTACATCATAGAAGCTTGTGCAATTGTGCTGCATTTCCTGGTTCCTATATAGCAGTAACCTACAAGGTGTAATATTGTGCCTTGTGTCTTATGGCTTTTTCTGTTCTTAGAACAGCTGCTTCCATTAAACACATCTTTCTGTATTAAACACACAGCATCCTTGAAAGTGTGTCTTGTTAGATAGGAACGGGAATCAAAGAAAACAAGTCATAGTTAATCACAGACAAACAAATACCCCAGGGATCCTCTCATATTTACTCAAACAGGTGAAAAGATTTAACAGGTTTAATCACTGAAAGTCATGAGATCAGTGCTTTCCTAAGTAAGAATGATTCATATATTATTGTACATTAATTCAATTTGATTGCAGATTTCTTCTCTTTAGGATAAGAGGCTCTTAAATATTAATTGTACTTTTGTGAAAGGAATTTGGAAATATCTCAAGAAGTATGTATAATTTATTAGAAAGCAGCGCTGTACATTACTTCTTGAATAGTAGGCATACATCATCTGTGTTAAGCCAGGACACAAACTATGCAATTTGCGGTAATTAGGAATGGGAAGATTTTATAAAACCCGAGAACCTCCTTTATGAACCTCTTGTATGCTTTTTGGAATTTGGAAACAGTCTACGGAAAAGACAGACTACACAGCATCACAGCAGCAAAAATTTTGGCCATATTGTGATAATTTTATGTTCTACCTAAATTGAGTAAGCATATTACAATCTGACCCATAGAAAGGTATTCTGGGAAATAAAAAGTTATAATCTGCAAAAAGTCAAAACTGAACTGACATAGTCAGCACCTCCCCCTATTTTCAGAGAAAGACTTAAGTAAATCTCTCAGCTTTTTCTCTACCAGATCCTTCCACATTTATTCCTATTCACCATGCATCTTCATGATGTAGGTTCACCTTATTAATACACACACACACGTTTTGTAAATATAACAGCAGTTATTGTTGATAGATAGTAAATATATCTATAAACATATAATAAATATATATCATATACATATATTTTGAAAATATCTCAACAATAGTGTGCAGGAACCTAAGAGATTTTAAAAATCCATACTCTGGATTTACAAATTTAACGTTTAATTTTTTCAGACTGTGATCTCTGATGTGCACTTGAATGTTTTGCTGCCAAGTGTGAAGCAGCTGGGATAAGAATCAGCACCTCCAAATCAGAGGTCATGGTCTTCTCCCAGAAGAAAGTGGACTGTTCTCTCCAAGTGAGGGGGGAACAGCTGCCTTTAGTGGAAGAGTTCAAGTATCTAGGAGTCTTGTTCCCGAATGATGGTAAGTGGAAGATCGACCGGCGGATTGGTGTGACTGCGGCAGTGATGTGGGTGCTGTACCAATCCATGGCAGTGAAGCGGGAGCTGAGTTCTTGGACAAAGCTCTTGATTTACAGGTTGATCTATGTCCCCATCCTCACCTATGGTCATGAACTTTGGGTAATGACCGAAAGGATGAGATCACGAGTACAAGCAGTGGAAATGAGGTTTCTCCACAGCGTGGCTGGACTTATTCTTCGAGACATGGTGAGCTGCTCAGCTTTCAGGAGAGCCTTGAAGTAGAGCTGCTACTCCTCCGGATTGATAGGAGCCAATCAGGGTGGTTCAGACACCTGATAAGGATGACCCTTGGGAC